AATAAAATTGTTTGTCCAGAAGAGCAATCCATAAAAATGTCCACAGTAGCCAGGAATAAAAAAAAAACTGCAAACTCAATTGCAATTGCAATCAGTCGAATTTCGCCTCGAACAAATCGATTTTCGGTTATTAGCCGTCACACAGTCATTAAAAATTTTGACAGATTTTGACAATTTATTGATGTTGCCAGGACACGCGACAAACAACAACAATTGGAAATTTACAGGATTGGATATGTTGACCTGTGCGAATTGCAAAAAGTGGACAAATGTTTGCCCACTCCCCTACCTCTCTCTGCAATTTTCAAGTGGCTGCCCCGATCCAATGTTGGTGTGTTTGTATCAACCCCCAGGGGCGCGCGATAATTTGATTAATTGAAAGTCAGACGGCGACGACCTTTTTTTTCTGTGATTGCGGGGAAGGGGTTGTTCTGGTTTTGGACTTGGTCTGCGGAGGAATCACCCTCCCGTCTGCGGTTTTTGGTGGCGTGAGTAAACGATCCCCGGGTTGCCTCAAGTGGCTCTATTGTATTCACATTAGCGGGCTTAGCCAACCCCCAACGGGGTTTATAATCGACTATATATACATATATATATCTATTTCCTATATCTGACGACCGTTTTTTATGTACGCTTTTTTCGGGGCAAAAATTTAAATATCGCATTACACACAGGCACTTGATTTTAAAGCCCATTCAAATGTTTCACTTGTGGTGGTCGGTCGGGTGGGTCAGGTTGGACCTGACACTCCCTGGACAATATTCTAACATGTGTTTTTCATTGAAAAATTTAAATCTGTTGTCTGCAGTTGATTATGCGATAAACTGTGGCTGCGGTTTCGTTGCAACTTTAGTTTTTTTTCCGGTTTGCTTTTGGACAGTTGCGTAATTGTTTTTTTGCTTCAAGGGGTTTTTCTTTCCACTGACTGCCATGGAGATTCTTTAAAGTCTGGAATATCATCTGCCAGGCACTTCAGCACATTTCACTTTTTGTACACAACTTTTTTTGTGGACTTGCTGGACCTGGAGATAATGGCTTCGGCTAGACGGTTGCTTGGGAGCTCTGAGAACCTTAAATTAAACATTAAATAAAAGCAGATTTATATAAAATTTAATATAATACTTAAATAATAAGCTTTTTAAGCTTTTATATGGAACATATTTAAAATATCCGTAGGTTTCTAAGTAGATTAAAAATCGCTTAAAATTTACCCAAAAAAGTATGCTACATCTTTTACAGCAATTAGGGAATTCAATTAAAATAGTAAACATTTAGTTTAAACGTGTAATTCCTACACAATACAATAAATTACAATAAACCTAAATTATGCCATGAAATCAAGCAATTAATCACCATTTCCTACTTCAATTTAACAAACCATAAAGAACCTTTAAGACCTCTCCCTTCACCTTAAAGTTAACGCCTTGACAGCAAGCTCATTTTACAGAGTTCATGGCTCTGGAGCACAAATTTGAAAACCAAAAGCGTTTAATGTATTATCAAATCAATAACCCAAACCAGACACACACACACTTTTGTTTCCCTCCCAGTACAAAGTGCTGTGGCATGCAACATTTAGCAATTTTGCGGTGTCCCACTCCTTGATTATCCTGTGTTGTCCTTACGGCTGTTATTGTTCAGCACCGTCACGCCCATTGGCTCCCCAAAATGTTAATTGATTTTGGCCAAAAGGGTTTCGTAGCCAAGCTTGGTTATTATTCGTGTTGACACGAAGGGGGATCCAACACGAGGCGGCTGCAGTAAGGACATTCAACTCTCCGATTTATCGCTTCAAGTGGTTTCTTTGCCTATGCAATTTTCAATTTCACGCCCTCAGGCCACTTTTTCCCACCTCATTTGCATATTTTCCGGCAATTATTATTCGCACATGCGAATATTTTCCTGCCATTGTTATTCTAATTCGATTTCGATACTTCGCGCCCCATTGCAATTTGCCTTTTTTACGATTTGTTTTGCCAGGATCGTGTGCTGGGCCCTATTGATCTCATAATCGAACCAAGTGGGCTAAAAAAGCAACATCAGAGGGTCGTCGCTTGATTTGCATTATTATTTGCCTGCTCTTTTTTTTATGCGTAGTGCCAATTTTTGATAGATGATGCGTGAAAATATGGGATGACGGGACCCAGCCCGCTTATTTGCATATTTGATTAATTTGTTTGGTTTTTTGGGTGGTTTTTTATGGAAAAATAATAAGCATTTCATTGTGTTTTAGGAAACAGATGAGTTGGGAATTAAGGGACACTATATAAGTGAACTAATTGCAAGGACATGCACGGCAAGGGACTTTATTGATGGGGCGGAACTGTTGAGGGGAATTCGACAAGCCTAGGGTCCTTTTTATACGTTTGCAGGGTATTTTAATTTAAGTCAGACGGTTGTAACTTGTGAAATAGTTATTCAGACCGTATAAATCATATATTCTTGATCAGCATCAACAGCCGAGTTGTTCTAGCAATCTTAGATCGAAAGAAAAATCTTATCAATTTTTCAACATTTTAACATCGTTAAAATTGTCAAAAATTTATTTAAAAAAAAATCGAGTTTTACAAACTCTAAATTATGTATTCTAATAAAACTAGCATAGAAAAACGTTCCGGATTAGTTATGAGTTTTTGAAGATATTAATGGGAATATTTTAAGCGTAGTTATGATCTATTTCCGATACGGGTTATTTCATTAATATTATCATTTTGAAATAATATCCTATTCCTTCTACATATTCCTTTAATTGAAATATCTAAAACTCCATTCATGGTATAACATTATATTGATTAAATCGATTGATTCAATGTATTAAATGTATATAGGTAGACTTATCATTTGGGTATTTTTTATGCCATCGTAAAAACTGCATTAACATGTTATCTTGAAAGCGGTTAATGGCAGAGATTTAACCCTGGAACTTAATCAATTTGGAAATCAGGCAAAAGCAGGCAGCCTAAGCTGTGCATCTTTTACATGTAAATCGTCATCGTAGCTAAATGTCCTAGGAGCAGGATTCGCTTCTGATTCTGTGTGTTTCCTCCTGCCTAGCAGGCACTAATCCAATTGCTGTTCGGATCATTAAGCACTGATTGCGTTTATGGCGCAGACAGGACTTCGCACACCCATACACACACATAGCTGCGGGCGTAGGTATACAAATGCGTAGAGTATGTGTCCGGATCAAATCCTGCGCAAGGACGACACTTGCAACAGTCGCGGCATATGCAGATTAACCCAGTGGCAGCGAGCAAAAAGGGGACGCAGCATCAATTATGCTGGAAATGCGGCGCTTTAGATTTAACAGCAAATCGATTTTGCGATAAAAAAAACACAAAATTGAAGTGCATTTGTGTGGAGGAAAGTGTTAAATTAAATTCACAATTGGTAAAAGGGAAATTTAATGTTAACCCTCTACACTTATAAAAAACTAGACTAGAAAACATTTTGTAATTTTATCATTATTTACTCATTTTGTAGAAATATATATATTGTAGAATATATTTATTCATCTTCTTATGGAAGATGAACTACTTTATAAATATTGTTAATAATATTGATTCGCTATATATTATTCCAGACATTTTAAAACATTATTATCTCAAGTTATGCGGGGCGTTTAGCACTTTAAAGACTTTTTTTGTAAAACGAAAATTAAACTGAAAGTGAAATGTTGAATATTTACTTAAATTTTGTTTAGGTATATAAGGTTAAAAAGTATCTAATTTCAATTATTTTACGTAAAGTTTTGTAGGGGAAAATATTTATCCTTAATAAGGATACATAAACTACAAGATTATAAGATTCATTTTTTTCACAGTATTTTTTCTTCACTATATGACTAGCACCTCCACCTCCATTCAAATAAACCGCGAAAGTAAATCTGCATTTGATTTGTCACCCCGCCGCACATGTTGCAAAAAAAAAAAAAAAGGAAAAACAGGAAAGTTTCACCGCAACTGTCGCCGCGAAAGGTGACACACACAAAAATAGAAAAACAATTGCCAATTACGAACGAGCAGTTTGCTCGGGTTTCCCTGTTTCCGCCAGCTACCCCAGATCATCCGGACCAGGACCATCCCTACCCTCTCTCCGGTAGCCATGGCCACCAGCATGGCCCAATAAACAACATTTGGAACAAAGTAAAAACGGGAAGAGAAACAATCGAATGTTGGGAAAACCCAACAAAAAAATGAGGGGTGGCAGGAGGCAGCAGGCAAAACTGTGTGGAAAATCACTTTTGCGCTCATAAATTTCAATAATAAAAATTTGAATGCAGTTGACACGACACCGAAACAAGCATCCCCTGGTCCGGAGGAAGGCGGCAGCAAACAAGGTTAAGTGAAATAAAAATCAGTGAAGTGCATAAACAAGGTTCAAGGTGCGGGTTGGGATTGCTATTTGGATCTGAATCTGTATCTGGATGCTGCCTGCACCACCCGATAATTGAATTGGCTTGTCGCATTCGGTTGAGGAAGCACAACCCTTTTTTTTGTCCACCGAAGGAGGTGTTAGGGTTTTTGCATACATATGTACGGTTACATATATGAATATGGTCGTATTTGGGTTCGAAATCCATTATTACCATATGGAAATTAAATTTCAGGGTGGCGGCCTCAATTAATATTAGCACTTCAAGAGCAAATACGCTAATCTTGAGGTCACTGCTATGGGATTAATGTCAGGGCTTTTATTTAAGCAAAGTAAATTTAGTGGAAAAAACTTCAGTAAATCTGAATGAGTAATGATGACAAATTTGAGAGCTTTAGCAGATTAGTTTAAGTACCTACACTTTATAGACTGGTTTTATCTAAAATATAATATATATATATATATAAATAGTAAGATCTGTTGGATTAATCTATAAAGCAGGTGACCATTATGAAGAAACCGTGCCCCTCCCTCAAAACAACATTTTTTGATAGCATTTTGAAGAACTACAATTTTTTTTTTGTAGTTACCATAGTAACGATAATTAAGAACAGATATAACTTTATCATAATTCTTGAAAAGCTATTAGGTTTTATGTGAACACAGTGTTCTTCTTGGATAGCAACACCTTCTGCATGTGCTCTTCGGCCGTGTGAATAGTGTGCGTTCCTCCCGCATGCCTTTGAGTGCACTTGGCCATGGGTGCTCCGGAAACACCCTTTGCCCACGTACTCGTGGCACCAGACTTACGGATCTGTCCCAGCTCAAATGTTATAAGGGGACCCAGGCCAGTGGAGCCCTTTGCCGTGGGGAGCGTGGGCACCTTGGAGCGTTCCACGGTCCGCATCACACATTCGGTGTCGCAGGAGAGACAGGCCAGATCGGTCATCACCTTGACCCTGCCAGCGGCGGCGGCACAATCATCGTTTGTTAGCTCCATATATTTTTGTAGTGCGTCTGCAATCATGTGCACCTTCCGCTCGATCATCTCACGGAAGTCTTTAAAACTGAGCTCCAGTACATCGATGCCCATTGACATGCGAAGATTGTCGATGATCTGCAGGACGTTCTTTTCGTTGGTACCGATGAGGTTATGGGTCTCGCAGAACATAGCCTCTTGCCTCTCCTTGAAATCCTGAGCTGTTCCAGCGACACCTTGGTCGCCAGTTGGTCGAAGTTCGGTTTCTCGGCCAGCAGAAGTTCTATCTCTGACTTATCTGATTTCACCATGTCCAAATGGACAGAGGACTTCTTCAACATGTCGGAGTCACCCTCAAGAACTTGTAAACGAGTCATCATCAGGCCATTGGTCTCCGTATTGGTGGTCATGTAAATTTTGACCTCCCTCAAAGTGCTCTGCAGATCAGTAATCGTACCCAAAAGCTTTTGGGAGTCCTGCTTATTGAAAGCAGCTGTCAGATCGTTGACCTTGTTGGACAGAGCGCAAAATTGTGCCTTATGATCCAACAGCTCGTTGAGAATTCGACTTGGGGAGTAGCATAAGGATTTTAGCCCAAATTCCTCAACCTGCTCTTCCTCGACCTTCTCCGTACTTCCAGAGGATTCCTCTTGAACTTCTTCTAGCAGCCCCATCTCTTCTTCACCCTGCTCGTCCTCGTTAGTGGACGATCTGATGGAAATCTCTTCGTCTGCCGCTCTCATTAACACCCTCAGCTCTTTGGCAAAGTGGCGCAGTATCTTTATCCTCTGAGGATCCTGTCTTCGGTCCAACATCATGTGAGTTACGTTATCAAGCTGCTTCACGATGATCTTCACCTGCCCCGTGAGATTGTTTACAAAGTGCTTCATTTCTATGTCACCCTTTTCGTTGAATAGCTCTATTTTGTTAGACGTGCTTCCAAGCGTAGAAAGTGGCCATTTAGAGAGACAAGAGATGTTTTTTCGGAGCGGTGAGATCCCTGTGATGGCACGGCAGAGACGCACTTTTCGTCTTCCAAGGGATTTGAACCTTGTGAATGTTCCGCCTCAGGTTGAGAGACCGGAACTTCTTCCTGACTATGCCTAGAAGCTGCCGGTTCTTGTTCTGGTTCTGGTTCTGGCTCTGGCACAGCCTCGGTTGGTTCCGTTGTAGCGACTTCCTCCGCTGGGACGTCTTCGCTCTGAGGAACCGGAGGGGCCTCCTCTTCGGCGTTGTCAACTGGAGCAACCTCTTCAGCCTCGGCAACTGGAGGAGCCTCTTCGGCCTCGGCAAGCGGAGGTGCATCCTCGGCTGGCGCCTCTGTCGGAGCATCTCCCTCAACATCCGCTCCAGCATACATACGAGGCATCCGGGATTTGCTCAAATTTACTGCGAATATAAAACAAGTCATGGACAATTCTTAAAATTCTCTTTTCTCACTCACATAAACTTTTCTGGAAGCGATCGTTGGTCATCATGTAATCATCCTGCACGACGACCTGATCAAAGACATCCAAGCGTTGGGCAAAGCACGTCAACAGAACTTGCAAGGCATAAAAGTTAACGTGTCCCGACTCCGGGGAACCAATGGCCACTTCGATAAGTTCTTTGTAAGTGAATGCCATTTCGGAAGGATGTTTGTGTACGAGCTCTCTGAATTTTATCCCTTGTAATTGGACAAATACCAAAGAATATGAATATGTTAAAGTGTTCGCTGTAGGAAACTTGTGGGTTGGGTTAAACGTGTAATTTGTTGGGACATTTAAAGACTTGTCTGTAGAACAGTTATTTCAATGACAACCTGATTGCCAGTTAAAGATTTAAGTTCGACATAAACTCGTTTCGACCCCATTGTTTTTTTATAATTCACAATTTATACTAAAACACAATGCAAAGAAAAAATCATCGAGCCTCTACATTTAATTGGGCATTGGTGGATAAATTTGAATTCGAAACAACGCGCCCAAATATCGGCATATCGATAGTCACGTCAGATGTCATCGATAAAATGCATATCGCCCGTGCTAATAGCACAATAAACACCGGCGTTAAAATTCACGTTTATGAAAAACTAATATTTTATTCTGGTTGTTGATGTTATAGACAGAACTATCAGGTCAGGATGCGGTTTACTTCTTGGCCTTCTTGGGGTCGCCCTTGGCGGCGTCCTCGCTCTCGGCGGCCTCCTTAGCGCGCTTAGCGCGAATACCAACCAAACGAGCATCAGTGCGAGCCTAAAAAAAAAGACAGCCGATGAGTATCAAAGCTCCCAAGTGGAGGACAAACCGCTGTTAGCTTACCTTGCGCAGGGTAGCGAAAGCCTTGAACTTCTTCTCGTCCTTGGTGACCTCACGGAACTCGACAACGGCGGGCTGCTCGTTCTTGACGGGCATGATGGGACCCTTAAGCTGGGTGGCCAGCTTGCACTCCTCGAGGGTGGACTCGCCCTTGCGGATCTTCTTCTCGTTGATGGGGAACAGGATCAGCTTGCTGCGGTACTCCTTCAGACGCTGGATGTTGCGCTGGCGCGACTCCAGGGATTTGTTCTTGCGACGGCGGTCCACGGCGATGCCGATAGTCTTAGCGAAGTTCGCGCTGATGCCGGCGCCCTGCAAATACGAACAAAAGCGTTTAGTGGCGGCTTAAATCGGGACCTAACAGCCCAACACTAACCTTCAGCTCCTCCAGGGTGAAACCACGGCCGGCACGCAGCTTTGTGTGGTAGCGGATGGTGGGGCAACGGACCACTGGACGCAGGGCACCGCTAGCGGGGCGGGGGAAGACTGCCTTGGCCTTCTTGACGCGGTTCTCATGCCTGCGCACCTTACGGGCGGGCTGGTTGAACCAGGTCTTCACATGCCGCTGCCACCACTTGTGGTAGTGCTGGTTCGGAATCATATTGTTACCCTTACCCATCTTGGCGGTTTAGATTGGCTGCAACACAGACCGAAAACAACAATAAAAACATTAATATGATTTTGTGTATATGCGGCATAACCAAACAGCAGCAGCAGCAGCAGCAGCTGCGGCGACGGCTGCGACCCACGTGGCTGAGTCATTTCGCTTGTTTCAGCCGCAATTCAACGCATTTAAAACACTATCTGGGCCACGCTTGCAGCGCCAGTAAGAGGCGCAGGCTTCGCACATCCGATTGCACAATTTCAGGTTCGTTTCCCTGTTATTTTAACAAATTTCAGGACACACTAAAATTTTACACACCTTTTCTTCCCAACAACGAATTAAAAAGGAAATCGCAACCAACTTCACGTCGTAGCATCAACGGAAATTTCCCTCGAAAATTCCCAGTGCCGACAACGAAATTTCCCCAGCTATCGATTGGTGATGCAATCAGTGTTAGCGAGAATTTTCATCAATTCACATTTTTTCCGCTCGCGAGTCGCATTTACTGTCGCCGCCACATTGGATTATAATTTCCAAAGTACGCAAATATAAATTAGCGGCCACCGAGAGCATTTTGAGCATTTATTAAGTTTAATTGCCTTATCGATTGGCTGGCGTGTCGCGTGGCAACTCTGATCTGTACTTCTGATACAGATAAAAAACTATTGACTATTGAACCGTCTATCTATAATCGAGAAATTGCGCGCTAATTTCCTGATTGAGGAGCAATCGTCGTCGGCTCCAATCGAAATAATTGTTCAGCAGATCCCCCAAGAAACCAAGATGAGTGAAGAGGTTCCCGCGTCGCCGGTCGCCATCAGCGAACTCAAATACGAAGATATGGGGCAGCTAAACTTTTCCAAACTGTACTCGCCGAAGATGAAGAGCGTCTACTGGCGCTACTTCGGCTTCCCTTCCAACGACAACAACGAGGTAATCACCAAGCAGAACGTGGTCTGCATTAAATGTCACAAGGTCCTGACCAACCACGGCAACACGACCAACTTGCGGGCGCATCTGCAGCACCGCCACAAGATCTGTTCAAGGAGCTGTGCCAGGAACACGACATTCACGTACCGCCGCGGAAAACGCCGCGCAACGTCACCCACCCGCCGCTGTCCAAGCGCAATGTGTCGACCCGCCGCGTCAAGCTGGAGTTTATCAATAATCGAAACCACGACAACGCCTCGGATGAGGAACTGGACGAGGCAGCAGTGGCTACCGCAGCGATGCAGGCGGAGGAGGACGGCTCCTCGCAGACATTGCTGTACGAGACCATGGTCCCCTTCACCTATGACGAGGCCGATCAATTGGTGGAAGAAGATGAGCGCGTGGTCACCATGGAGGCAAAGTACGCCCGTAAGCGCAAACTGGCTACGCCCTCCAGTAACCTTCACCACTCGCGGGGAATTAAGCACGAGGATGGCGGTTATGTGACGCCCGCCATTGCCAATCTGCCGGAGGCCCTCACGGACATCGTCTTCAAGGATCTGCGCAATGTGGACTCCCTGTACGACGCTGGTTTCAGTGACTTTGTGCGACAGGTGGTGGGCAGCTCGTCTCCCATGCCCGAGCCGCAGAAGATTGAATCATTGATCGCCGAGATGCATGCCTCCAAGTTCCTGGAGATTGGCGACATCACACGGGAGTACACCAACGAGAAGCCCTTCTCCTTTGCATTCGAGCAGTGGGTCAATGTGGAGCAGCGGCGCTTCCTGAGCATCTATCACCACTATTTGGACGAGGAGACGCAGTCGGTTAGAAGTGTGCTGTACGCCACCGTTGAGTACACAGACTACATAGTCTTTGACGATCTGCTGACGGACTTTTACTTGCCCAACTGTACCTTGGCCATCGTCAACTACGACGATGAGCATGAGGACTTACTGCACACATATCTCAGGGAAAAAAGTAAGTCCATTTCGGTTAATATATGACATTTTTCGTTGTAAATACTTATGTGTGTACTTTGATTTCCAGATATTCCCATTATATTGTGCTACGTTACGATAATTGACAAATGCCTGCGTCGCGTCTTTGAGATTGAGGAGGTTGCGTCGCTTCTGGAGCAGGTGAAAGACATTATTCAGCGGCACTCAGCCGAGATCAGCGCCAAGGTTGCGGAGCTGCCGTCCTACAATGAGAACTTCCCATGGACTTTGTACGAAATGCTCAAGTTCTTTGCCGAGTCCATTTCTTGGTCCGATGACATGGATCAGCTCGTACTGACGGCGAAAACTGTGACTGAGGCACTCAGTGCTCTGGTGGTAAGTAATCTGCTGCCTCAAAATTCCTGAAGATACCCTGCCTACAGGAAAAACTCTTATTGGTAGATTGCTCTGGACACGTTGCGCGGCGAGGATATCCCCTTGAGCAGCATGCTGTCGCCGATCACCTCCAAGATTCTCATCAAGAAGCTCGGCATTGCCGAGCAAGACGACTCGCTTATGATGAATGTGAAGCGCACCATTGCCGGTGTGCTGCAGTCTCACATCATTTCCAATGACAATCTGACAGCTGCTGCATTGTTGGACCCGCGGTTCCACCGCCTAACCACCATTGATAATCTGGACAGATGTGTTCGCATGTTGACCCACAAGTACAACAAAGCCTTTGGAGGAACGCCTAGCGGCGACTCGTCCGATGTGACACCCACAACCTCCGTGAACACATCGTCTACTGTTAATATCAAGGCAGAGCCAAGGGCAATGGGTGGAGGATCAGCCAGGCGGTCAGTGAGTATAAAGAAAGTCATAGATTTCACACAGCCTTAACTAACTAAAAATAACCCTTGCAGAACTGGAGCTACTCTTTGACATTGCCGAAATCCCGAGCCGCCAAAGCGGGACTCTGACAGCACTGTAGAGACGGATCTGAAGCGCTACCGCAATGAGGTAATCGTTCAGCTTGACGAGTCCCCGATTGAGTGGTGGCACAAGATGGGCCACATATATGGAACGCTGCGCGACCTGGCCACCCTGTACCAGAGCGTGCCCGGCGTGGTGACCCTCAGCTTCAAGAAGGCTCTGCGCGACCAAATCTACGAGTTCAACAAGCGCTATATGCTCACGGGCAACCAAATAGATGCAATCCTCTTCCTGCACCATCACAGTAATTAGGCCGCAAGAATAGAAACATGTTTTTATATCGTATAAATACAATTTAATTATGTATATTAATCTTAATCCGACCGTATGTATGTATGTATGTATATGGACACGACGGCACCACGGGCACTGCAAAGTATTTACCAACCCAGATTGGTAAAGGAAGGACAACTTTTATAGTTTGCATACGAAAACAGAAGGTATAATCCATCGCGTATATTATGTCCCAATGAATCAAGTAACTCTTAGTATACATATACCTGTTAATAAAAGTAATTCAATTATACAAAGTAAAGGATATCGTTAATCACAGCCTATCCAGTTACGAGACGGAATCATGTTCAGAAATGTTTAAAAAACACTTCTTCCTTAAACAGACTAAACTAATCTTACAATTAAAAAAAATCGCTTAATTTGTATATTGATATTTGGGATTTTAAATAGATTTGAATTACTTTCTTCAATTTTTAGAAATGGTCTGTATGTAACAAATAAATATCATAAACTATGCGTTTGGTTTTCGATTTCAATGTTAAATATTTTTTGCTTTATTTCTATTTAACTTTGGGCATTTTATAAGTTAAAATTAGTTTAAATCCCCTAAATAAATTGAAAAGGAAGTGTATTTTAGAAACGTGAGTTTTTATACCCTTTTACGCCCGATTGGATCACCAAGCCGGACCGATCATAACTAAGCCAAAACAAATTTATTTAAAATTAGCAAATGAGTTTTAACAATATATATTTTGATTTAATTTTTAACATTTTCCATTTTAATAAAAATAATTAAAAAATAATATTTTATTATTTGTTTTTGCCAATATTTTACTTATTATTAATAACAATTTTTTAATCAAATCGAAATATATAAGTCCCTTAAAGACGGGCAAGAAAAAATATTAATTTAAGAATGTAGCAAACAATTGTCATCAATGTTACATTGATTTTTAAAATTTTGAATTTTTTTAAATTAAGTTACTTTTATTTTATTCGCTGTACTGGGCAGTGTGCCCTTCGAAAACTTTGTCCGTCAAATTAGCGTCGAAATGGAGCGGTGGGAATGCTAAAAAATGAATTTATATTGTTTTTACTGGTTGAAGTATTGACATTTGGATATATTAAAAAAGCATGTGCAAAATCGTGTTTTCACGGATTTATAATATCTCGGCTAATCAAACGCGTGCAGCAAACCCGATATTCCAAAATGAAGGACATTTATTGTAGTTATACCAAACCAAGTTTCAATTTTTCAAACCGTCCGTTTTTGAGCAAATCGCATAACAATGATCTAACCTCGGGTCGCCTCCATACAAAATAGGGCATCCAAAATTGTAAGGCTTATAACTTCTATTTACGAACGCGTGCACATATGCACGGTATATAGGCTTACTAGGGGAAGATTAACGAATATTAAGTGAAAATTTAAATGATTTTTAACTGTCAGATTTCGAGAGAATCGAATAACAGTGGGTGGTGTATTTGGGCTGATAGCTAAGGCGCGAACAATGAAAATGGAACCAGATGGGAACCAGCAGAGAACCATTCGCTGAACCAGACCATGGAACCATGTTAAGAAAAATAATAAATTAAATAATATTGACAAATTGTTGAATAAAACATTAAGAAAAGTGACTGCCCATAAATGGAAAGGCCGTTTAAAACAATTCGGTGCGATTTTCAGCTAAATCAGGGAAAGATTATTTTGCTATATACCACGGCGGAATTTTATGACCCTCCCCCACAAGCAAAATCGACGCTAACTTTTACAAAAATCTTACGCCCTTAAATAAACGCGTGCAAGCTTGCACTGTATCTCAAACGATAGGGACAAATATTCTATATTCTACAAATCTAACCCAAAGATTTTAAGAAATTAGCGTTTTCTTTTTCGATCGTATTCAAAAAACACTGGTTCATATCGATAGTGGCGCCTCCCACACCCTATCGATGAATAGCCCGCCAGAAATATTCCTGTTGACCATTTAAACAATTGTATGAAATATGCATGCCCCATGAATGGAATTGACATTCCAAGCATTTGGTAGTTGTTTCATCAAAATCCGTTCAGTCGTTTATGAGCAAACCCCACTTTTGCATTTATTTTCATAAATGCTCTTACGAAGAATAAATATATCTGGCAGCACTGCCTGCCTAAAATTAAGTCAATTTTATTTAAACTTTATTATAAAACTTATTCAAACTGAAGTTCGTACATTAATAGGTTCGCAATTCTGAACATTTTGATCCATGTTTCAACAAAATCCGTTCAGTCGTTCATAAGAAACCGAGTTTTTCATTTATTTCCATTTATGTGTCCCGCAGCCCTGCCTACCAAAAACAAGAAAACTTGGTTTTAACTTTATAGCTTAACCTATGCAAAAGGAGACTGTCCTGAACATTTTGATCTATGTTTCATAAAATCCGTTCAGTCGTTAATGAGAAATCCGACATTTTCATTTATTGCAGTTGGGTACCAGGGGTGCATAGTCATGCCTCCTTAGTACATAAATTAGTAATTCAAATGTTAATTTCTCCAAAACTACTGAACGGATTTCGATGAAACACATACCAAATTGCTTAGAATAAAATATCATTTATTGGGCAGACTATTAAATGTTATTTCGAAAATTTGCTTCCCAAATCTAGTGCTTCAATGCCCTTGCTTGTCATATAATTTCAGGTCAAAAATTTGCAACGCAGTGAATAAATTATTTCCGATCCTATAAAGTATATATATTCTTGATCAGCATCAACAGCCGAGTCTATTTAGCCTGTCCATTTGTCTGTCTGTCCAATTATAAGCAAAATAGACACTATATTTAAAGCTCTCTAAATAAAACTTTGCAGTTAGTCTTCTAAATAGTATATAATGGATTAAAATTTTCAGAACAGCGAAGCCCTTTATTGCTTTTGTATTCATACGTCCTACCATTAAGTTTAAATCACATTTTTTTACTTAATATTCTTCGTCGAACATACACACATACATACATTTACGGCAATAAATAAAAAATCGGAATTTCTCATTAACGACTGAACGGATTTTGATGAAACATATATCAAAATGTTCAGAACTGCGATGCCGTCTATAGGACAGTCTTCCTTTTTCATAGGTTTAACCATAAAGTTTAAATCAAGTTTTCTTGTTTTAGGCAGACAGGGCTGCCGGATATATTTATATTTTACCGGTACATAAATGGAAATAAATGAAAAAGTCGGGATTTCTTATGAACAACTGAACGGATTTTGATAAAACATGGATCAAAATGTTCAGAACTGTGATGCCGTTTATTGTATTACCTTCATATTGCATAGGTTTAACCATAAAGTTTAAATCAAATTTACTTATTTAAGCTGGTAGTGATGCCGGATATATTTATTCTTCGCTGGTTCAGCGAGTGGTTCTCTGCTGGTTCCCATCTGGTTCCATTTTCATAGTTCGCGCCTTAGCTATCAGCCCAAATACACAACCCACTGTTATTCGATTCTCTCGAAATCTGACAGTTAAAAATCATTGAAATTTTCACTAATTGTTCGTTAATCTTCCCCTAGTAAGCCTATATACCGTGCATATGTGCACGCGTTCGTAAATAGATTATAACTTACAATTTTGGATGCCCTATTTTGTATGGAGCCGACCCCGAGGTTAGATCATTGTTATGCGATTTGCTCAAAAACGGACGGTTTGAAGAAATTGAAACTTGGTTTGGTATAACTACAATAAATGTCCTTCATTTTGGAATATCGGGTATTGTTGCACGCGTTTGATTAGCCGAGATATTAAGAAATCCGTGAAAACACGATTTTGCACATGTTTTTTTTAATATATCCAAATGTCAAATACTTTCAAACCCAGTATAAAACAATAGTAAATGCATTTTTTAGCATTTAGAAACTTTATTTTATTCGAATTAGTGCCTTAATTACGAAATAAATTAAAAATTAAAGATCCCCTCCGTGTTCCTTTTCCCACGTTCCATTTCGACGCTAACTTATCGACGCTAATTTGACGGACATAAATTAAAGCTTCTTGCTAGGGAATTATTATTACGTTGCTTTAAATCTGTAACATATTAGTATTTTTGTTATTGTTTATGAATAATTGTTGCCAGTAGCTATACCCTTATCTATACATTTTTATTACCGCCAGTCTGGACTTCCAAGTTGAACTATATTCAAGGGTCTGCAGACGTTGCGTTGATAAGATTGCGTCTTCAAGACCCACTACTCGGTGGCATTAAACAATAAAGCCGCTTGAGGGGTATTTTTAAACAAAATTGTTGTATTTATTGATTTCACCATTAAATCAGATTGCAATCAATTATTCACAGTAGTTTTCATCATTCTTTGCTCGTTGTTATCAATGAAATACGATTTTGGGGACAACTACAGCTCATGCCAGAGCTCACTAACTAATTAACTAATGGACTAAATAAACAGCAATAATAATAATAGTAATAATAATAATAATAATCATAATGATAATCGGAAGTATGCTTTAAGAGTAATGGTAACTAAAATGTATATCGCATTTGAGGAAACTTAACGTGAACGTTTACAATTACGATTAGAGTTACGTATAGGTTACGGTCGGCTTCTACTGGCAACTGCGGCCAATTCAACATTGTTTGTGCTTAGAAACTAACAAAACTAGGGGAGCTATTGCGAACGCCAGTCGACTGACTCACTTTTCATCTATTTACAATACACTCTGAGCGAATTGATTCCTATATATACATTATTTTTTATCAAAATATCAACCACATTTATACATATTTGTATCTTTAACTAAATAGCAGCCTTTTCAAAATTTTGATAACGTTTCCGGTGAATCCATCGAACTAAACTCGTTGTGCAGACAGCTATTGCGGATCGTCCTCTCTCTATATATATAGTGTAGCATATAGCGGATTGGGTTAAGTGGGTGGACTTCGATCGTTCAACGTCTTATGTCTCAAGTCTATTGAGTTCGTTTTCATTTCCCTTCGGTTTGGTTGTGACTTAGAGCTAATTAACTCAGAATTTGCGCTCGTTGGTTTAGATCGTCTAGAAAAAAGGGGTAACGATTACAGTTAAGTCGCAGCAGTCGCGTCTACATATGCACAGATTGGGTTCCTCAACGTCGCGTGTTAACTTCTAGTCAGGATTCGCCGTATGTGGACTCCCTAAAAGTCGTAGAACTCGTTCGACTTGTTGTTAAAGCGCCGGGTTAGGACATAGACAACTGCCTCGTAGGTGGCCATCATGATCGCCGTGTTGGGTATCTGTCGCACCAGCTGCGTAGCCAGGCCTCTGTGGAATGAAAATAATACAAACAGATGGCACAATTAGTTGACGAATTACTCCGCAAATAGTAGTAATCATTAAGGCACCCCAGCAGACAGCACGCTCACTTGCTCGCTTGCTTGCTAGTGCTAATCAAATTAAGGTAAACAAACAGAAGAATATGCGACGCAAAAGAATGAATTTAAATAGATTTCGCGCCGAGAAAGGCGACAGCAGGCGGGTGGCTGTATCGCGAATTCGTGGGTGGCGCATTATGATAATTCATTAGCAATGAGCAAGCAAAAAAATTTAGCAGAGCATCCGCGTTGGCTTGATTCTTATTTAAGATCTTGTCAGAATATATTTTTATAAAAAGTATAAATATATAAATTGGGAATTTTTAGAAAGACTAGTATATATTTTATGGAATTCCCTTTGAATCAACTGGTGTCTTAGACCTGACATGGGTTTCCTTTAAAATAGATGCAAGCACTTATGGAATCAATGGTGAAAACAATGTCAAATGCCAGACAGATTTAGAGGGGGTTTCTTTCACTTGAATATAAGATTAATTGGTTTCTATACTAATTTAGTACATTTTAAATAATTAAATAGAATTAAAGCATACAATTTTAATGAGAAAAACCCCTAGCTTATCAACTAGATTAGGTCATTAAATGTCCCCTGTATTTAATCGAACTGTACGCACCTATACAGTCCTGCTCTGCCCTCCTCCTTCCACACCGTGTGTAGGGTCTGCCAAAAGGAGTTGTACTTGTTACCCTCCTCACGCAGACGCGTGCGGGCCACCTCATGGGGATAGGCGATGCAGGATGCGATTGTCTTGGACACGGCGCCGGCCATCATGAATTCCAGGAAATCACGCGAGCCCTTTGTGTCCGAATGGCGTTGATTTCGCTGCTCCAGCTAATAATAAATAATAATAGAAATTGATTAGAAGATTATCACAAATGTACAATACAATTTCCAAATATAAACTCACTAATTTGGACTTGATGAACTCGTAGATGACAAAGTGCACCATGGTTTCGCAGATACCAAAATAGCTAGCGGTAATACCCTTGTAGAAGGCAGCAATGCCACCTTGGGCATACACCCGCTCGATGCACTGCCTCACCGTCATCTGGACTTTGGAATTGTAGTCCAGCTGCATTCTTGTCTTTACAAACCAAATGGGATTCGTGGCCGTGGAGGAGACAAAACCAGCGCTGGCAGCACTCATAATGTGAACCAGCGGCGAGTCACGTTCAACAAACCTGAAGGATAAATCAATAAATTAAATGGGATATTCGTGGAGTAATGGTATTTGCTAAATCAAACTTACCCTAAACTGTTGAGCGTGTTCTTGGTTTGGGAGTAGGTGCAAAAGTAGATGGCACGGGATGGGGCCACGCCCACGAGATTCGGACCGAGACCTTTGAACAGAGCGCGGGGACCCTCGTTCTGAACAATATGTCTAAAGAAGGCAAATAAATATACTTATAGTTAAAATATACATCTCAAATGTAAATATAAAAATATATGCAAATAAATATAGAAACATCCATGGTTCATGTTTCTGTCTAATTAACTGCCAGAGAAACGGTTTTTAAATGTAAAGGATCAGTAACTATCTTTCAACATTATTATTATGAACAGTAAGTAACTATGATCAGTTAGAATCTATGGCCATTAATTAATTATGATCAGTAAGTATCTATGAACATTAAGTAAGTATGATCAGTAAGTATCTATGATCAGTAAATAACATGATCAGTAATTAACTATGAGTAGTAACTATGAGCAGTAATTAACTCTTAACAGTAAGTATCTATGACCAGTAAATATCTATGTCCAGTAAGTATTTAAGATTACTAAGCATGTATGATCACTACTAACTTTGAACACTAATAAATGAATGACTTGCAACTTTTGTAACAACACATTTCTGAAACTTGGCCGGCAGGCGGCACTTCGTTCCGGGGATGTTAGAACCAGTTGGGAATCATATGCACATATGTGGGAGATTTATTTGGCAAGAAAATTTAAGCTATTTGAATGTAACTATGGAGATATTCTTCTATATAATTTTACTAGTATATAAGTCGGAGCATGGCGAATCGGTGGACTACATATATGCATATTTATATAGCTGCCATAGGAACGATCGGAAAACTTTAAGAAAAAACCATTATAACTTTCCAGTTTTAACAGATTTCATCAATTGATATAAGCTTTATATAGTTATCTAATCTATTTATGTACAATTTATAAATCGGACTACTATATCATATAGCTGCCATACAAAGATCGTTAAAATAGAGGAATGCAAAACGGTGAACGTAAAAATTATAATAGAAAATGTATAGGTGAATGAAATTGAAGCAGGCATTACTTTATTGTTTTTTAACATAAATATATATAATTTATATTGTATTAATTCCAAGTAATCGAATTTCAATCATCAAGGGTATACAAAATTGATCCAACCACATTTCGTAAGTCCCATTTTTATCTTACCTTAGACACTGGACGATGCTCATGGATTTGGGCGTTGTCGATGAAATGCCACAATGCGAAATGGCCATGATCTGGAAAAGGTTAAAATAGGAAATCAAATTAATAAACCAAATTAAATTAAATTCAGGGCAATGGAGATGAAGGTATCGAAGATGTTGCCAGTGCTTGCTGCTTGCAGCTATGGTTAGGAGATGTGGCATATGGCGGCATTATGGGTATGAGTATGAGAGAATAGGTAAAAAAGAATTTGGTACTACCCTACGCACACCCCCAATCACCTGTGGCTGTGATCTGTTACGTAATATCGTTGTGCTTAGCTTACGTCGTTGTTCCGGCCGCAAAAGCTCCGATTGGCCACCATTGGCCGGTCCACCGGCATTCTCCACCACCCGAGCCGGCGTCATGAAGGCCGTGGAGCTCTGCAGACGCGTCTTGACCACCTCCAATGGACATGTGACCACGGCGCCCACAGTGCCAGCGGAACTGGAATTGCAAAATGGGGAATTAGGATGAATAATTTGTCAATTAAGACTAGAACTTAGTTGCTTAGATGTTTCAAAAAGAATATCATTGCATTTTACTCTCTATAAGTTATTAGTTTTAAAGGAAATTCACACTACTATGATAGTAGTCATAACAGAATTAAATTTATGATAACCACAAGTTCAAGTTCACTGCATGCTTAAGTACAAATCGAATGGCTAAGATTAGAAATGGCAATCCATAAGTAATAAACTTTGACTAAATGTATGCCTTCCATTTTCTATTTCGCCCACATGTTCAACAATCATAAAAATAAATCACACTTCTTGGCAAGAATCGACCATGCAGGAAAAATATCTATTTCCCAAACTCGTATTTCTTTGAATTGCGCAAATGCTCTGGCTAAAAATGTCTGTGTTCTTTTTTCCTTCTGTCCGTCTAGTATAAATTGCTAACTACAGACACAGACCTAAGTGGCATGTCGCATTCCAATTACAAATCGAATTCAAGTGCCGGGCAAAGGCATTCTTGATTGGCTGCCTCGGAAATGAAGTGCATTTCGCCAAATGCATGGAAAAGAGGGGTTAACTTGCGGTCTGGATAATCGCATAGTGGAAGGAGGCGTCATGCCCATCAAAGCGAATTATAGAAAATTTTCTATTTGAATTCATTTTGAATTTCAAGTGCATGTTGGCAATCAAGGTCAGGTAATTGTTTACTGAATTGTGAAATTGCTAAAAATGGAAATGTGTAAGCGAGCAGCAAACACGATACAGGGTTCTAAAACTAAATCAACAAATTGTATTAACAAAGTTCATAGCCCGTACCAGACTAACCTTGACTTTAAAGTTTCTTCTAGATTAAAATTTGTTTGTTTACACCTTCGAAAAATAAAAATCAAACACGAAAGTGCCCCAGAAAATTAATTATACACGACCTTTCCCAAAAAGCCAAACACAACTCTGATTGCCTCTATCAATAATCAACAAAACACACGCTAACTTGTGATAAAAGCAGGAGGAATCGCTTCATTATCTAAGAATAAACATATTTGTAGAAGCATAACTCGTGATCGCAGAAATGTGTAAATTGCCCAGTTGGCAACTGGGAGTCATGAAATCATTATTCGATTATATTATAAAAAGCCATGGCAATAAACTCACAAAGTGGGGGAAAAAGAAAATAAGTTATGCAACAAAGGGTAAGAATGAGGAAAGAAAATGACAAAGACATGTACAGGTGGGAGAAAAGTTTGATCGATGGCCGAGGCTCTGAGGACAGTCACGACTAGAAAATCTCTTCCTGAATCCTAGCAAAAAAAGGCTATGAAAATAATCAAGCAGGCAATTGAACTGATACTTTTCCCTGTATATAATAATTTCGCAAATCTGGCTCCGATTGCCATGAGGCCAGGGCATAGGGATCCAGTTGAAACCGGTTGGGTATTGACCCTCCTCCATCAATGATAACCTTTGATGCCGCCAGCGGATGGGATGAATTGCAATGAACGCGGGTCTGGACAAAGCCGAGCCATGTGAGTTGTCTTATCAACTAATGACTGGGCGGCCACGTCCATTATAATATATATGGTACTTTTATGGATGCCCGATCCGCTTCGAATCTGGTATGAGACTATGACATAATTGCCCTGAAACCTGGTGAAGAGAACACGCCACCATATGCTCTGCTTGCTGTCCAACAAAACCAAATAATTCTACAGATACTTTCCCCGACTTTTACCCCAAAAATAACACCCACTTCCCCCTGCAGTCAATATAAATTAATCACATTTAATCAATGCATTAACGGGAAGCTCCGCCCCGAGTATTGAATTTCAATTAGCATCTGCCTGTCACCATCACGCGAAACTAAAGCAAACCGTGTCCGTCGTGCTACCTGAAAGCTATTCACAGACAGTTGGACAAACAGTCCAAGGATAAGTCGGAATTAGAACTAATTACGCGCGGTTGACTGACACGGGGATGAGGTGATTAATGGGTTAACCAGGCAATGAGGTGATGAACTAAAGATAACAGTTTGACAAATGGCAGTTGGAAATTAATTGAATACTTAAATATAAAAGAAGAAGCTCTTCAAAGGACTTGATTAAGGTAAGGTCATCTATAGGATAGAAGGGGATATAGGATTCGGTTAAATAAATTTCTCGGCCTGACCTCTAATGTCGAAAACTAGTCAGGATGAAAGAGGTGTATGAAGTTAAATCAATATTGAAATTTAATATTATAACAAATATTAGCTATATCTTTTTCATATCTAAGCACTTGCTTTACTTCTCACTCCCAGAAATGCAATCTAATGTCTCTATATATTTCTTTGCATAACTAATTTAAACTTTCGTTTCTTTCTTATTCTTTTAATTACGTTTTCTTACTCACATATTTAACAACAAATGTTTTAGAAGACAGTCAGTCATCGTTAAACGTAAGCAATTCCTAATAAAACCAATTTAAATAAATATTATTCCAAGCCATTAAAGATTGAATTCGTTTGAAAAGAAAGCAATCTCTCATCTGTGTGAAACATGTGAATCTGCGTTCAAGTACATCGCACAGATTCTCATAGGAATTGCTATATATATGTTTATTATACTATATATATATGTCCGATCGATGGCCTTTGGGGGATGCATGTGCGAATTTCGTGCAATTTGCAACCGGTTAATGTGCGATTTATCTGTTCTTTGACATTGTCGAGAAAACACGCGCTACAACCGCCCGATAAGAGTGGAAATTTTGGACCCGCAGACACCATCGTCTATGACCACATTTATTTGCATACATATGTATGTACATATGTATTTCTTGTGATTACGAGTAATTTCTTTTGGCCATGCGTCAGCCTCTGCTAGGGTGACTTTTGTCCAAAGAGTTTCCCCCGTCCTCTCGAACCCACCTGTTCAGTCCCCTACCTCAATTTAAGCTGATAAGGCCTGTCTTGGCGGGGAGACTTATGCTTATCAACCTAAAAGTACGCATATTTCAATAGCTTTTTGCGTTTCGCAGACTGAAGTTCCCCTCTCGCTTATCATTGCCAATTTTGTATACTCTTTAAAAGGTATTATAATTTTAGTCAAAAGCTTTAAGCGCAGTGAAGGAGTCATTTCCGACCATATAAACCATATATATTCTTGATCAGCATCGACAGCAAAATTGAAATTAACACTGCAGCTTAAATTTTCTAAAATTTTTTCAAATTTTTTTAATGGGTTCCATCGTTAAAATGTTCAAAAATGTATATAAATTTTAATTTAAACAAATTTCTAAATTGAGTATGCAGATTTATTAACCTAATAAAAACTAGCACTAAATTAAAATAAGTGCATTTTTGGCTTAGTTATGATCCATCGAAATTTGGCTCTCTAATCCAAATGCAAACTTTAAGGGTATACAAACTTCGGTCTACCAAACTTAACTTTTTCCTTGTTTATTTTGACTCCTGCTATATTTTACCTTCTATTATTTATTTGCTTTTGCTTAAGATTACGAAATTTATGGAAAGTTTTCAATGTCTACGTTTATGGGTCACAGGAATCCAAGGTTTTGCTGCTTTGAAGGACAAGTTATTATTAGATATTGAGGAATTACTTTTAAAGCTTTTAAGGAAATGAAATGTAATGTAGTTAAAGATGGCTAAGAATAGAGATTTCCCATTAGATGGTTTATTTTATGTCTAACATTTGAAATAAACTTGGCACGCGACCTTCTATATTTTTTCCTCATTCTCTATCCGATTTTATTCGAATATGTATGCTGTTCATATGTTCTATTCGTATTAAAAATCTAAATATGTGTCTAGATCAAGAGTAAATTTAAGTGCCCTTGACACAATTTTAGGTTTAGAGAACCTGATTTATAAAATGTGCGATAAATTAACCACAAATAATGATAGAAAAAGTAAGCAAATTAAAAGGAAACAATTTAAAATAATTTATTTTTCGTAAGATAACTATTTCAGCTTTGACTTTGCCTATTTACTCTTCTTCTTTTACCGGGAAACACCTTCTATTTCAGTCTTTAAGACGGCCATCCTTTCTCTAAAATATGCGTACGTGCGGAGAGACATGAAGGCATAAAGAGAGAGCTTTTGGGCCGGGTCGAAACCAACCACCAAAAAATGTAAACAAATCTCAGCTGATGGAAAATTTCGGGTTATGGTTATGAAATCTCACCGAGGAAACTACATATGCTATAAATAAGTTAAGCGACAAGGAATTGCACACTGCGACTGGCATTGTTTTGATTCGCCTTTAGAGAGGGGGCTATCTATCTTATCTATACATGTGTGCATGTGCGACCCCCCGCCTTTCCCGCCTTTCCCGCCTTCGAAAACACCTTGGTCAGTGTGTGTTGTTTGTTGCAATTCGCTCATCCATTCGCCTTCAACTGAGTCAGTGTGCCAGAAAAAGTTTATTTGCCCGCCTGCCTGGGTTGTTGTCTCGCTGAAAAACCAAAACAAAATCGAAATCGCTTGCCAAGCTCAATTTAGATTTGTTTCTAGACAAATAACAGAAAAATGTGTAGGCAAAAAATCAACACAACACAATGCAATATATAGTATAGGTATAGGGAAAATAGAGAAATGTGCAATGTGTGTTGCTTTGCCAAATTGAAAACATTGAGGGAATTTATCTTCTCAGCTGTCTGAACCTATTTAACAAAGTCTCTAATTGCTGACTTTGCGGGGATATTATAGTATAGTTTTTAAATGTCACCAAAATCAGGTTCACAGTATGAACTTTACGGGAAGAATTACTTTAAAAGAAAAACAATTATTTATATGTTAATCAGAAAGCCAAAGAGAACTAGGACTAGGACTGAAACCTTAAACTAAATATACAACACTTTGTGGCCAAAGTAAATGCATTTCTGACCCATTTATCAGTCTTTCAGATAATACACAAAAAGTATCTTATATAAGACCCCCCTTTGGAGGCTTCTCAGATGCTTGATTAGATGGGGGATGCATGTCGTTTAATTGTTTGCTTTGCGGCTTATTTATAGCGATAACAAGGTTGTTTTTATTTTATTGTTTCCCTTTTTTCCAACGTGTACCGACACGAGATACCAACAGAGGCGGGTTAAACAACAAACTAGGGGTATTAAGGCAGCTCAAGTTGCAACGTGAATTCCTTTCCTTTCTGCTACAGTTCCTCTAGTTAAAGTCTATAGTATATATAATACGTGGAGATGTAAGCAAAACAAACACGGGATACATAAAGTATGACTTGTGACCACCATTTGTGCACATTGAGACCGCATTGTTGTTGCAGATAAGAGGGGCTTAAAGCTGCCGGCCGGCAAAATGGCCAGGGGCTCGCAGAGCTCACTAAGCATTCGAAGGGGATCATGACTATTGACAGCCCGCAATCAGCACCGAGAACTTTGCCAGAGGTCAGATAAAAGGCCCTCCCAGTAGACAAGGTTACACTTTAATCAAAGTAATCAAATAATACACTGTTCATATTTTTAACTGTAGAAATATTATATTTTCTTCCCTAATTATTTGTTAAATAGGAGATTCAATTTCAGTAAAGTCTCAAACAAAAATCAGTCTTTAGATTTTAATTATTTTAAACCAGTTGCTGCATATATATTAGATGCCTGACATATCCGAAATTGGGGCGTTTTATTTTACCAATTCCCTTCCAAAATCAGTTGAGAATTATTACAGATTTTCTAAGAATTCTTATGTTTGGATCATCTAATCATATTTTTAAATTAAATTCTAGTTTTTTAGATTCTAAAGTTAAAAAAGGAACCGTTAGGCTTTCAGATTTCTCAATTAGATTTCAATAAGAATTAAAGTAAAGAATTGCACAAACGCGTATTTAAACACTTCCCAAAAATAAATATCTTTATAAAACAGACTTTGTTTTATTTCGTAAGCCCTCATAAAATTTGCATTTCCCGAAAGACAAGAGGCTCGACTGTCTCATTACCTTGTTCCCACCTTCTCTTTCTTTCTTCCCACCGGAATACGGAACAAGAACAGGAAAATAAGCTGCACTTCACCTTTCTCCTCCCGCTCTCTCTCTCTCTGTCTCCCTTATCCACTCTCTTCGCAACAAAAACAAAACTGCGTGTAACACACTCACACATGTTCGATGCAGCCAATATGCCGGGCAAGTGTTTGCGTAGGGTGCAGGTAAAAACAAAAATAAATTCAGATGCGGCGCGACGCGTCTAAAAATAGCCCAGCATAAAAGCGACAATAAAAGTAATAACAGAGCGACAAAAACAAAATAATTGAAGCTCTGAAATCCAATTGGACATTGTGCCCGAGGAAATGCACCGAGAAAATGGATAAGGAAAAAGCTGCAACCTTTGTGTTTACACATGTTTGCTGCTTTCACATAAGTACATATGTATTTTATATGTTCATTTCATTTGCCTGTTTCGTTTATGTCGCCTGTGATTTCGCCAGCTGTCGCTTGAGGAAAGCACGTGAACGGAGCGTGTTTTTTACTGCTCTTTTCGGCCTTTCTTCTGTTTTATTTGGCAGTGGCGCCAAAAATGTTCATTTGCGCGAATTGAAACAAACTAAATCTAATCGCAATTGCGACGTTTTTTTGTTGGAATTCAACTACAAAGTCTCGACCCAACCAAACCGGTTTGCGCTACGTTGGCCTGACCTGCGATAAGACGCAATAGCAATAGCAACAACAGGCGGAGCTTGAAGTTTAGAACTAATAGATTACCCATTTCACCACTTACCCGCCGGCAATCAGGTGGATGAAGGTATCTGCTGTATTCTGGGCCATAGTTCGCTCTGCGGGGTCTTGCCGGAATACGTAACTTAGCTCTGAGCAATTAACGCGCACACAAAACCGAAAATATTTCCTATAAGGCACGTCGCGTGGGCGTCGAGGGGGCCGGGGGGACCGGTGGGGGTGGCGGGCCCCAAAGGGGGCACTAACTGCACTCTCCTTGCGCCCCTTGTTTTTCGAGCTTTCTTTTTGTCGTCTCCTTCGCCACGAAAACCTTGCGAGAACTTATTACGCGTTGGTGTTGTTATTTTTGTTCGTTTCTTTCCGTTTTCTATATTTTTTTGGCAACGCGTTATGCAACTGCAGGCGAATTTCACTGATAAGCGGTTTTTGGTAACTTGGTTTTTATTATTTCTTGTTTTTGTTATTTGTTTTTCATGCGCTGCACAGTTCACGTCGAGATTGATGTTCAAAATATTTCAAAATATCACCAAGTCGATATTATTGTTTGATAATTTTTTATATTTTTCTTTTGGTCACTCTAAAATCCCAAGCTGTTATTCAACATTTTACATCCTACACGTAAAGAAAACCGTTTTACAAGTTTACAAATACATGGTGTCGAATTCTAATTAACAGCATTTTCTCTCGGGTGCTGTCGGATGTCAGTCGTTGTTGGCTGTGTCGAAAATATATTAAAACACCAATATACCAGCATATATTTTTTTGGTGTTTGTTGATATTTTGTTTCTGGTCACTCTGAAATGCAAATTGTTATTTATAAGTTTACATTGTCCACGTTTAGATAACCATTTTACATGTTTACAGATACATTTAGAATTCTCCTGTAGGAAGTCGGTCGTTGATATATCGATATTTTGTTTACACAAATATCAATGTATTAAACTTCTTACATCTTACACGTCTATAAAACCATTTTACTCGTCTTAGAATTCTCATGTAGGGAGTAAGGAAGAAAGTTTAATATTCGGTGTTCTGATGTTCACTTGAAAATGGTTGTTAGGTTTGATTTGAAAAGGTGAGAAAGTGTGCTATTGGAGGTATAAGTAGAAGGTGATACAAATGTTAAAACCTTCGACAAAATGGTTGGGAAAAAAGATAAGAACAGCTTGCAACCTTTTGCACTGCTTCATTTCCGGAAGTAAACAAAATCCAACTTCTGGCAACATCGTTTTATTTGTATTTGTACGTATTATCCCCTTATCCCCTATTTGTGCATATTATCCCCACCAAAAGGCTCTACTGATCTGTCACCAGTATCGCAATTATTAAAAAAAAAAAATAAAATTGTATAGTTAAAAAGAAAACCAGACAGAACAGAAATAAAACACACCCAAATAAATAAAAAACAACGAAAAGATTTAATTGCATTGAACACTCAACAGCTTAAAGACTTTATTTATTTGATCGATATCCGATTTATTGCATTTTTCTCAACATTTATCTGCTGCAGTTGTATGTATGTATTGCTAGTATGTATGTATTCTAGTACAGTTGATCTCATTGTTTATTTTGGCAATTACCGTTATTATACCGTTATGTTCATTATGCAGGATTGCATTTTCGGCTTACTAACTAATTAATAAGTAAAATTGAATTTCGAAAATCTCTGATAACTTTGTTGTTGTTGTTTGTCGCATTTTTTGTTATTTATCTGGTGTTTGTAGTTGTTCATTTCATTAATCTGAGGTTATATATATGGAATTAAAGAGGTTTTGCTTATGTCCACTATTGCACTTTGCATTTGCTAATGTGTGTTGTTAACAATTTGTGGTTGTTGTTGTTGGTTGGCAACTTCTTTGGATTAAATGCACTTTTCATATTGCTGGGCTGGATAACTGGATAACTATTGTGATCGGGATGTGGATGTATGTATGTATGTTCGTGTTGCAGTGTTGGGTAAGCGCATTTGCATTTGCTCCGCTCCAATGCGAGTTTTTTTTTATGTGTAAATATATTCCTCTACATTATTGTTTAGTACTGCATTTGCCTGCATCTTTAGTTAATATATATATATATATTTATTTATCTATTTAATAGCCTTGCATAAAGGTTCATCTTGATGTGTTTGCCTATTTGTTGTTTGTTTACTTATTTTTTGTGACTCGCAAAAACAGTGTTGTAATTACAAAAATATATGTACTTCGTGTTATAGTTCGGCTGTTCTTGACAACTTAAGCACTAATTTAATAAACCCGAATAAACGCAATAAGTGGATTACGATTTAAATATTTATTTGCTTGTAGTTTGCAATTTGTAAATATGCAATTTTTGTCACTTATTACAATACAAAAGGTACGAAAGGCGCGAGTAACTCCGTTGGAACGGAGTTTACACTAAAAATTGACTTAATTGTGAAGAGTTTTTTTTAACTGAATGAAAATTGTCTCGATCTCCCAAAGAAACGAAGCTTAAACTTAACATGTTATATTTCTTGGTTTTGGATATATGTATGTATCTTTTGCTTTTCAGCTTAAACTTAATATTATGTTTGTGGGAGTGGAAGTGGGAGGGGGGTTGGATCTCTCTTGCTTAATCATTTTGTAATACTTATTTTCTACATTTGCTGGAAAAAGTTAAGGTGACAGACAAATGGGCGTGTTGGGTGTTGTTCTGTTGGTGTGTGTATATCTCTCTCACTATATATAGGAAAACTTGACTGAAAAGCGGCAACTAGTTCGAGTATCTGTAATATGCGTTTCTCTTAACATTTGAGGGAAGGAAGGATCCCGGGTGGTTGGTTACTCGGCGCGGCAGAGCAGCGAGGCGAAGCGGAAGAGCCTCATCCAGCTGAAGAGCTTCGACTCGAGAAGATTCTCCTCCGCCGTCGAGGTCGTCATTGAGACCCGCGACGAGTTGGAGGACTTGCTGCTCCGCTTCTGCTGCATGATCCTGGGCGAGCTCATTTTCATTATCGAGTAAGTCGTCTTGGCGGCTTCTGGTTGCACACGCCACAAAGTGGACGTGGGCTACGGGTCACAAGCGTGGAAAAAGGAACGAAACGCGCTGGCTGCAAAAGAGAGAAAAGATACAATATATAGAGGAGGATTAGTCAAGAGCTATTCAAAGTGGCAAGTCAATGGCTCAGACTCTCAAGGCACAGCTCTCAGTTCTCAGCTCTTGAGCCTTTCAGACATCGAGTGGCTGCCGTGACATTTGAGCGTCACTCGGCAAAATCCCCAAAATCTACGAAATCCCCAACGAAAAGAGGATGGGCTGGCACTTGAAGGACTTGGCTGACAGAGTCCCGGTTCAAGTGAACGAAATGGTAATAACATGTCACAGTTTTCAAGGGTCCTTGGCATTGTAAATCTATTCAATTTCAATATCAAATAGAAAGCTATATACAATGTTAAAGGCTGTGCAGAGAAATCTTTAATACCCAACCAATTTTTAATCAATATTAATGGCTCTAACTTTTCTGTTAAATTCACAAACAAAATGGAACTAGTTTTATTGTTAACTGAGCTGCCCAACTCCAGTTTGAAATGCTCCATTGGCTCCAACAGGGCGTAAACACACACACACCCAGCTAAAAGCACTCCGAGGCTGGCACAAGCCCACCCATCCGAAGCTGATGACCTTGCCTATATGCACTGATAGATACACTCACTCACATACATATATGTATAAATATATATTGAAAACATATGTCCAAAAACAGAGGGCCGAATTGAAACGCTGCATGCTCCAGTTTTTCCAGATCTGGCTAAAGCCCAGACAGCAGCAGCAGTTGGCCGAGTCAATGACAAAACTCAACGGTTCGTTACGGATAATAAAGGAGAGACATACACACAAAATGGGCTTTGTATATAGTATATGATATTACACATACGGGGAGCTAAAATTGATGTTTGCTTTAATTGGACAAAATCCTGTTTCTGCTTCTGCTTTCTGCTTTCTGCTTTCTGTGTGCTGTGTCCCTGGCAAGAGATTACATACATAATGCAGTGAAAAATTTTATGTTCTACGTCATCTGTAATTATGCAATGCAACCGAATTTCCCTCCCACCACAGACTTGTGGCAGCAAATTAATTTCAATTTCCAGGCAAGTTCTCGTTTTTTCTTTTTTTTTGTGTCTACATCTATGGCGACAATCCGAAAGTGCAGTTTGCTCATAAAACATTTCCATATATCACATGTAGTCATAAAAAAAGCTAGAAAAAAAGAAACGACAGCAGCTTGTCCCGTCCACGCGACAACATAAAAATATTGTTTTGTTTTTTCCGCTACTATTTGGATCGCCTTTTCCTCACCAAACCCCCCCCCCCTCCCTTGAGGTTGTTGTTGCTAAATAATTTTCTACTTTGTATGTTTTGTAAGCAATCTTTAGCTGCTGCTGCCGCTGTCACATCTCAAAATACGCCTGCGCATTTGCTTAGCTCATTATAATGCTGAGATCACCGAGAGATAGCGATAGCCATTCCACTGAACATTTGGGAGTACGGTGGGTAATGTGGGACAAAATGCAACTAAATTCTAGGAAATTCTATTACTTTTTTATTGCAAAGAAAGAAAGAGAACTTTTAGAAGCTGAAGCTTGTATACCCTTGCAGTTTGCGATTGAATTATAGGATTGAAACGAAAATCAATCATCGTTGGACAAACTAAAGTTTAAAAACCTCCTAAATAACTGAAAACTTTCCTATATTAATTTTTATTAGGTTAACAAATCTGCATACTCTATTTAGAATATAAAAATTTTAATTTTTATCAATTTTAAACATTATTACGATGTAACTTCTAAAATTAAAAAAAAAAAATTCTTCCAGAGATGGCTAGATCGATTCACATTTTATGCTGATCATGCTGATTTATTGCATTTCAAGCTTCTGACTGAAACTATTATACCCTGCAAAAGTATAAAAATAAGAGTAAATTTATGTTTCCCAGCCGTTTAGACAATAAAATCTTAAAGATGTCATAGAAATGGAAATAAAAAGTGCTATTTTCTCATACGTTAAAATTTGTAAATTCTTTGAAAAATAAATGCTGGTGATTACACAAAATGTGTAACCATATCAAGGAACAAAGAACCTTTAAACCGATTCGAGAAAACCAGAAACTGTCTTTAACTCATAGAAATCCAAAGAATACAAATTCCAAATTAATTTTCTTAAATTTCTCGATATAGAAACTCAACCATTTAAATTAGCGCCTAAAGCATTTCAATTTCACTTTTACATATTTCTTCTTGAAATCTACAAATCTCTTCCCTTCCCCACGGCTTTTCTTCTGTACAATAATTTCCACCTCCGCCTCTGCATGGGTTTCCATTTCTTCCTCTGGGCCTTGACATAAACATTTCGGGAATGGGAAATATTTTCTGTTTTTCGTTGCTGTTGTTGCGCTTTAATCTTTTGATACTACGAATGCAGCTGCTGTGGTGTCAGTTGGACAGAGGTGGAGAGATAAAAGGGGAAAAGGGGGATCGTGTGCTAGTGTGGGCGTTTTTAAAGCTAACGGGAAAACACGATGCTCGCCCACATTTACCCCTCCAAATGCCCCGTCACTTACTTCAATGCCGTTTTTTTTCCTACAAATATTTCACAACTCGTGCGACACTTTTTTACTCTTTACTTATTAAGGGTATTTTGGAACTTTTATTATTAGAGCTTTTACTTTATTAAAACTTTGAATTTAAAAGTAGAGAAAGTATTATAATTTGTACAATATAAAAAGTGTTTATTTTTAAAAATGATTAAAAATTTTAGTTTAATTATATGATCCCTAAATAGTTCTCAAGAAAAACAATAAATTTTACGGTGTTTTTTTAGTTAATAAATATTTGTTAATAAATTTGCTTTCAGAAATGTTAATTTGTTTGTAAGTTTTACTTTAAGACCATATTTTTGGAAAACCATAAAACCTTATTTATATAACTCCATTCAAGTTCCTAGCAACACTTGTCTTTATTGGAATTTCATGCAAAATGTTTTTGGCAACTTAGCCTTTATTTTGATGTTTCGCAACAAGTTCTTAACAACGCCTTGTATTTTAGATGCCTTCAGAATTGATTCATTATACATAAATTTGAGCATAATTAATAAATAATAAATATTTGTAAGCTAAGAATTATTTTATATTTGTACATTTTGGCTAGTGCAATAAATAAAAGGTCACCCATATAGCACTAGGATACTGTTAAAATAAAAAATATAGTTTCAATAAGAAATACATGTGCTTTGAATACCGCTTCACAACTTTCTTACTATTTTTTAGAATATAGATGTTTATGTCAGGGTATTCAATGTCTGTATAGCTTAAATTAGCATTTTTTCTTGTTCATTTTCCGTTTGGTTTGCTGGTTGACTGCATTGTGTCATGTGGGGCAACTAATGATTGAACTTTAACAACTTGGCCTCCCCAAATCATTCTCTCTCCATCTCTCTTTCTATGTCTCTCTTTCTCCCTATTTCGTTCTCTCTCTTTCTCTCCCTTTGCCCTGTCTCTTTCTGTTCGATGACAATTTCAAGGCATTTGTTTTATTGCCCATCCGCTGGCACCGCGGGGCGTATGCGTGATGTTTTTATTGCCGTTAAATTAACCGAAATGCCGCCCGAGATGGTTCGATGGAGAGAAATGGGTGCCAACATGCAATATACTTTAGATTTAATATAATCCATGAACATATTTTTGTGTTTTTTTGTTCCTGGTTGTGGGTTTCGTGCGCCAGCCCCTCGGGGTCATGTGATTCAATATCCTGGGCGCCATCTCTTGATCAAATTTATGAGTGTCGAGTGTTGGAAATCGAATACCATTGATGGCGACGCTGTGTTTTCGTGTCATTTGTGTGCGATGAGGTTGTATCACCCACACAGTCTTGAGATCTCTGCCTTTTGCACTCAGTTGCATGACAAATATTTTCCATTTTCCACCTAATTGGCTATAATTTTATGTCACTCTTGTTGATGTGTGCCGTATGATTTTGTACTATTCTTTTTTTTTCTTTTATTATTCTTTATTATTATTATTTTTCCCATTTTATTGCTTGTCACCCGACGACGTTCACATTGACCCACTTGGCGCATGCTGCGCAACAGTAATAATACACACACAACAAATAGCAACAAATAGCAAAATGCAGTTTGAGCCTGTGCCAAATTCAATTATCAATTTGGGCTTTTCATGCATTTTTCATTTTAGCAACTCCAACGTTTTCCCTCATTCGGTTGCCAATTCCAAATGCGAAACACTCGGCCCAAAAGTGACAGTTGGAAAAGCTTGCAAGGGGAGGGAGAGGAAAGCGAGGAAAATGCTGGAAATTCTGGGTAAAGTTGACATTTCAACGACAACTGAAATGCTGTTGATAACACCAGTTAACCTAATTTTGTAAATTGGCTTAGCAGAAACGTAATTGACATTTATGTACACGAAGTGGAAGCCAAAGGGCGCATTTACTCTGAATCCTGTCTCATTTGCAAATGCAATAAAAGAGTGGGAAATCGGTTGGCAAATTAAAAGGATTGTGTGGATATGATGACTATTTTCAGTTGGATGGGTTAGTTGGACCTTATTTAGGGCAAATAAATATTATTTGAGACTAAATATCGTATAAGGTTTGATACCAAATGGAAATTATAGACTCAAAATTATATTAAATAAAAGATGTTAGGTAGAATATTAGGTAAGAATATTGGGTCAAATACTAATATATATAATATTATCTCAGACTGAAGTTTAGAAATTGAATGAAATCCAAGCATTAATTAAAGTTTTTAATCATATTTTGCAAGATTTGTTGTAAGATCAAATAATATATGTTAAAAATGATAGTTTTAAGGTTCCATAAAACCCTAAGAAAGGTGTTCAAAATTATTTTTCCAAATTTTACATAGTAAATCAAATAAATTTTCTCTTTTTGACATAATAATAAGGGTATTAATAACCATTATTATTATATACCATATATATTATTATTATTTATATTATTTATTTATATTATATTAAATTTATTTAAAATATTTACTAAAGTATATAATAAATAGTATATAGTAAATATTTAAAAG